ACAGTAACGAACCAGTCCCAGTTCGTCTACGACCCCAGGCAAAGGTGTCACCTGGCCTCTAACCCCTTCCTGGGTTCTCATGTTACACGCTCAGGTATTCTCCCTCGGTCAGTTTCACATCCCGCAATGCAGACTATCCTAGCCACACTTCCCTGTCAGCATTCCCAGACCACAGTAAGAACAGTCCCAGTTCGTCACATCTCTCCCCCCTTCGAGACCGAACTGAGCGGGGTCACTTTAGCCAGTGACCCGGGGAAGTTCGAACCTACCCCCGTTCCCATGGATGCCCCAGCATCCGTCCCATTCCGTGGTGAGAATTACACCAGGCCCCTCCAGTTTCACGCCCCCACTTAGGTCGGGTGTTCTCGATGGCACTCGCAGTTTGCATGTGGGAAGGTTTATGCGGCCTGTGCCCTTTCCCCACCCCAATACCCCTGGGGTTCCAACTGGGCTGGGGTCTTCTCCCAGCGTTCCAGTCTGGAGGTCTGTGCTTTGGGCTCTCTTGGTTCAGAGCCCCCTTTTAACCTTGGCCACCCTCTGGAAAGGCTCCTCTATGCTGGGCAAGGGTCCTAAAGCTGTTTTCCCCTTGTCCCGGGCCTTCCTCACGCCCTGACAGGGGTCACAGGATCCGCAGTACTGTCGGACAGTAACAAACACCCCAGGCCAGTAAAAGCCCCATAGCAGCCTCTGCTGGGTACGCCAGGTTCCCTGGTGCCCTGAGAGGGGAATGTCATGGGCCCGGCACAGCAGCTGGCAGCGATACTTCTGGGGTACCACCAGCTGCCTCCTGAACCCCCCTGACTCCATTTTCCCTGGGGGAGCTCATTCTCGGTACAGGAACCCCTTCTCCCACAGGAACCTTTTCCAGCCACCTCGTCCCATGGTCTGTACCGCACTGGGGTCGGCCAGGTCCCTTATCTTCCGCAAGGAGGGATCTTTCTGCACCTCGGCCTGGAACTCAGCAGCTGGGACAGGGATGGCCACCTGCTCTCTCTCGCCGGCTGGGTCTGAAGCCGCAGCCTCCCTGAGCCGTGTCCCTGGGTGTTCCCTCCCCACCAGGTTAGGGTCCTGCGCCTCGGGCAAGGCACCCTCCCCAAGGTCAGGGCGCAGTGCCCCTCGCCGGCTCTGACTGCAGGTCACAACCAGTGCACTTTGGGGGTTGCTTGGCCAGTCCTCCAGGTCCCCCCCCCATCAACACCTCAGTGGGCAAATACGGGTGTACCCCCACGTCCTTGGGGCCCTCCTTGGCCCCCCACTTCAGGTGTACCCTCGCCACGGGCACTTTGACTGGTGTCCCGCCCACCCCCCTCAGGGTCAGGTAGGT